AAATGCAATTACGGGATGATTCACTTCACAGCGAGCACACTGAGGGAGGACGACTCCTTTTGTCATTCTCATCGCTGTCCAAACGCACGCGTGCAGGTTTGGAGAAGTAGACGGCTAAATGACAACAAGCAATTGTTAAATAGTAAATTAAGTAAAAAATGATAGGGTTGTCACAGTAGGTTTGTTGCCACATGAATGCAAATGTAGAAAATGCAAGCTTTTGTCCGCTGCATAAAAGGTTTGGGTATTTCTTTGGGAGAAATGCTCTTCATAAAACACTTCATTAAATGTGATTTGTTTGTGTTTTGACCACAGCTTGTATTCTATATCAATAAAAGGAGTGTAACGATATGAAAAACCGAACCGAAATATCGCAATACACCAACCACGATACGTATGTAGTTCTACGAGCTGTAGAATAAAATAAATAGAAAGATGACCTTTACCTCTTACCTGATGTCTTTAACAATACATTTGCTGCGTGTTTGCAAAATGGAAGTCGTACAACATCTTCCCTATCCACCTTACTCTGAGAAAAGGGTGAACTTGAGGAGGTATAGCTCGGGAATTGAGGGGAAAGAACTGAGCCAAAAATTAACTGACAAATCAATCGAAATAAAAATGAACAAAAAACAAAAAAAATCTCTTAAGTGGGCAAAAGTAATGCAAAATAATTTTGCCCAAATGAAAGTTAAGCAAAAACAATGAAAATCATAATTATGTCAGCAAAATACACGAAAAACAAGATCAGAGGAAAAAGCGCTCACTCCCGCTCTTCCTGACGCCCTTTCTATCCCCCCCGCCATCTCGCCAAATGATGATAGATCGGTCTCCTGACCAATCAGCTGTCGTGAAGACTTACAGAATTGACTGGCATGGAAAGAGCGAAAGAGTAAGGGTGTCACGATTTCGATTTTTAATCCTACATATTATAATACTCATATGGTTTTTCTCCACGTGTATGTGAAATATTTATAATAACACTAATATTATACTTTCTTATCATACAATAGAGATAATATTGTATTGTGAGATCAATATAAAGCTTTATATTGAGTTATGACTTAAGTTTTTTGTTACATCCCTATTTCTTTCACATTACTTTGTTTTCTACAGTAGTTAGCCATATTAGGTCTTTTTTAATGCCATTTTTAAAATAAAATTAAGATGTTCTACATAAATCAAGAGAGAATCAACGTCTTTATTCCATCTTTATTTTATTCAGAATCATGCAGCCAGTTATTTGACCTATTAAAATGCTTCAATGTAGACGGTTTAAACTAGACTTTAGAAGGCTTGATGGTTTATAGATCGATAGGATGGATGATATAAATGGATAGGTGGTTTATAGATAGGAGCTTATAGATATCCTTTTATAACTAGATATGACTGAACAACTCTTTACTAACATCTAAAATACATTACTGGAATCTTACAGGACCTTTTCCTCAGACTGGAAACTAAAACACTAAGGGCAGATATGTTAAGTATTCCTGTGCAAATTATCCCACTGTAATATTATTAATCATGGCCAGTGTACTGAGGGTCCACAGGGCTCAGTGGCGCACATATAAATTTCCCCTCCATTTGTCTTGTCACAGCGAGTTGCAGGGCTTCATGTGGGCAAATGTGACCGGCTCAGTTTGAGAGTGTTTTCTCAGACACAGCGTGGTGGGAATGTGCTGAGAGGGGCTTTTGCCATGAGATGGTGGTGAGCTTTCATGCAGGAGTGAACCACTCACATTATAGGAGTGTGTTTATACTGATGGACCAGCATGGTCAACCGGTTTCATGTCTGCAATTACAACATAAGTCCATCACAGAGGGATATACCTTCTTCACAAATCTAATTCATTGAAAATGTTGAGCATATTTTCTGGGGGCAAAAATGGACAAAAATGTTGATTTAAATGGCATTTGTGCACAATTACAAGCCCATTGAATTAAACCTGCTGACAGACTAATGATTACTTGGTTTTTATGTTTTATTTTGTAAAACTCAGATGAGTATGGTATTTTTCTATATTCATTGATTTGTAAACAGTTAGTTATAGGGTCACGACACACTAAAACACATTTTTTAAGCTGTTGACAATGTGTGCCACGCTGCTATAAACACTATTAAGACACATATATTTCACAAAAAAGTTAAAATTGGTTGTTTTTGCATTATTTCGAGCAAATTCATTCTTCCAGTTTGTAACAAATTTTTGAAGCTGCGTCACGCCGATTAGATCCTTGCGTGTTATTCCAGTGTGGAGAGTGGATGTCTGTACCTGTGAGTACATCGTGACGTCTCTGAGCGTGCAGCATTAATTCATGAGAAAGACTTGGTTCAAACCAATCAGCGCGTTCTATTGTGTATGTGGTGCAAATTCATTAATAATATGCATAACAGCTTCGAAGACCTGCTACAGTGTTAAGATGACAGAGAGACGCCACGTTGTGTTGCTAAAACAAGTGGAAGAACGAGTTGTTTAGAGATACGGGTCGTCAGTGTTGCGTTTATAAATGTACTGCAAAGATGTTTTTGATCATTTACCCGCTATGAGAGCGCAGCTGGACTCACGTGTGCACTACGATGCACACGACAGAAATATGTTTGTAAGGAACTTTTTTTTTTTTCCCGAGAGCTTTTTGCATCTGGAAACGGTGAAATCCAGATATGCCGCACGTCTCCTTTTAAATAAGATGCTGCTCCAGTTGGTGTTGATTTTCCTGTCTCTACAGATTTGGTAAGTGAACTACAACATTGTGGACTGAAAGATCCGCTGGAAATGCAACTTAGGCAACCTAATAAACACCTTAAGGCTGATTTATACTTCTGCGTCATGCGCACGCGTATACTAAGTGCAGCCTATGCGTTGACGCATAACACTATGCCGTTGCTGTCGGCATCACTGATGCGCACGACGCGTAGCGCAAGCTCTGTGATTGGTCGGCTTGGTAGCACTGACGAGTCTGGGCGGGGTCGAGAGCAGCGCGAGCCTGATAGAGCGATTGTTTACAAGTGTGGAGTCCTGTGAAGGAGCTCTGGATGGAAAGTTTTGTTTTGTGATTACCTCATGGTTAAAGTTGTTGCACGTCCATTGGTTCTTGCCTCAAAATGAGCGAGTTTGAGCCACTTTTACATTAAGGAAGCGTTCAGGAAAAACAAAACACCAGCGAAGAAACTCAACACGGAGGAGTATTAACAACAGAAACAGCGCGCAGAAATATAAATGCACAGATACGTGCGTTGCATGCGCCATGGGTCACTCCGATCACCTGACGCAGAAGTATAAACCAGGCTTTAATCAAACTATTACTGTCGTGTAGAATTTTTGCTGCATTTTGTGACAGGATAGTCTATACACACACGGTTTCTGACGCTACCTACCGAGTGCATCTAAGTTACAGAGAAATGCTGAGGTTTTTTTTTTTCTCCCATTCACAGTGCGGTATCAAACCACACTTTTCCAACAGTTTCTCGCTTTCAATATCTTGTTTGTCACGGGGGGCATGCAGGAAATGTTCCTGAATGAAAGTGAAAGTGCCAAACCACAGTTAAAGTCCTCAAATTAACAATTTGGCAAATAATTTGATTACTGATGCACATGTAAACACAGTCACTGTCTTTCTCCCCTGTGTCTGTTTGTTTTGCCTCTGTAAAAATCAGCAATAGCCCAAATGGAAACTCTCAATTTTATGCAAAGCCTTTCCTCTTCCCCTCCCCCGACACTCCCACATAAACAGAGCTGGACACACCCACTTTCCTGACTTTTCCAAACTAGAGGTGTAAAACCACACTGCTGAGACAGAGGGGTTTTATGGCCCTTTAAAAACTAATTTCAACAAAAAATGGATGTGTATCATTACATTGGAAACATGCATTTGGATTTTTGGGAAGAGTTCACCCAAAAATGAAAATTCTGTTGTATTTACCCGACCTTTACTTGTTCCAAACATGTTTGACTTTCCTTCTTCTGTTAAATAAAACAGAAGGTATTTTGAAAAATGTATTTGTTTTTCCTAATATAATGGACTCGGGGTTTTTTTGTACAACAGAATAAAGAAACTCACAAAGGTTTGGAAGCACTTAAGGGAGAATAAATAGTCAGTAAATGTACATTTTTGGGTGAACCATCTCTTTAAAGTGACAGAAACCTAAAGTTTCCCCCGCTTTTTGTGTCATTAGGGTTAAATAAATAACCAAAGAAAGAGAAAATCATTTAATCATCATGACTTTGCATTGTTTTATTTTGCTTTTGATTTATTTTGTTTCTGTAGTATATATTATTGTATCTTGGTTTTTATTGTATTTATATGTTATATTGGATTTAATTGGATTTGTTTGGACTTTGAATGGATCTTACTGTCTGGTTACATGTCTTTTGTAGACTTGAGTGATTATAAAATAAAGTAATTTGAGCAATATTGTATAGAATGGATAAATGCATGATCTGAATGTTTTGGTATCAAAAACTTGTTTCAGGAAAAAATAACTATCTCCAGTTGTAATGTTATTATCATAAAATCAAACCACATTGGTCTGCTTATATTGTGATCAAATATTTTTAGATATCATCATCATCCATCCACCCATGGTCATGTTATTTCCCTTTCCTGGCATCTTTTGGTTGCAAAGGAAATGCTTGAAATTCACGCTGGAAATGTGCTGTTATGAAGGTCATTGGCTGCTGCATTATTAAAAAAGTGAGGTTAACTGTATTGTAAAATTTCTAAGAGTCTGAATGGATTCCTCTACTGAGCGTGTTTAACAGTGCTCTTTACATGCTGTGCATCATTAACATGCTCAAAATGATTGATTTCTTCACTAATCTGGATCATCAGGACTGGACAAGTCACAGAAAACAATCCAGGTTTCCTGTTTGTTTTAACTGTCGTCACAGCCAGTTTCTGCCGGCAGATATAAACATGGCTAACCCTCTAATGACTCTCCTAGTTAACTAAACAACTGAAACGTGTCTAACTGGATTGTTCTCTTTTCTCTCTCTCAGATGGAGGAGAGCAGAAGGCCGGTTTGCCCGGGAAAGAGCCACCATCATCAGTCACTGGACGTGGCTGCAGGCGCAGATATCAGACCTGGAGTACCGCATCCGGCAGCAGGTCGACATCTACCGCCAGCTCCGCACCGGAAAGGTTAGCGCCCTTACTTTATCTGCAGTTTCGCAGAAATAACCGTTCATTTTGCTGTGTGTTAACTTTTGTTTTGCATGTTTTCCACAGGGTCCAGTGGAGCTGGGAGACTCCGCCCCTTCCTGCAAGACAGAGACTAATGAGAATATCCTGACCTCAACAACATCCCAGAATTTCTCTGAATCGCAGTCTCGCTTGACGGACGCATCTGAGAACATTGTCTCCATTAGGTTCTGATCAGTTTAATTATTTCAATGAATGTTGTTGTGTTTTAGTATTTAAAGAGATAGTTCAGCCAACAGTGGTTCTAAACCTTTATGAGTTTCTTTATTCGGATGAACTCTAAAGAATAGATGTGTGAACCTATATTGGTCTCACGGTTCGGTTACGATTATCATGCCATCGATTCGGTGCAATTCGATTTCTTGGTGCATTACGGTGCATTGACAATGCTTTCCATACATTCCATTTAGGGGGAGGCTGAATCAAGCCGTCTGTATAACTACACAGACATACAGCACCACACTGTCTCTCATTCACACACGTACACAAACAAGGACAGCACCAAACAAACAAACAAACACACACACACACTTAAGCCCTCGCAATATGCGTTTAGCTGGGAGAGTTTGCACTGAGCGAAGCAAAAAAACAAACAAAAAGAAGCAGCACTTTTCCGACGGTCCCTTACTGAGAGAGCATCGCTCAGCGCAAGCTCTCCCAGCTAAACGCAAGGGTTTATGGGTGTAAACAAACGGTAAAGTGCTCGTAATGTCGAGCGGTAAAAAAGAAAAAGACAGCTGTGAAACATAACCAGCTTTGTCTTTTTTGTAGGAAACACACTTTAGATCTTTTAAGGGTAAGAGGTTTTTAAGTTATTGCCGCTATAACTGAATGTGTGTCAGGAATATCGAAAACAAAACCAAATTAACAGCGCTCATTTCTGGTGCCCCCCTGGATGTACAGTCTCTTAGCATTTGCCTATGCTGCCTATTCCACGGGCCGGCCCTGAGTTGGCTCGTGAGTGTTGCAAATACCGGCGCTCACCTCCCTCACGACAGAGCTCATAGGAAATTAATGACGTCAGTACATAATAACAGGATATGATTATTACTGAACCGATACCACATTGTATCGCGGTTCACTGAAATAATAATTAATTTTGACACCCCTAGTGGAAACTAGCATTTTCTTCACAGTGTTCACTGTAAAAAATGATGAGTTACTTAAATCAAGTAAACCAATTGCTTTAAAAGCAACAAGTTGACTTTCAAACAATGTAAGTAAACCCATTGTAACTTGTGACTGTTATGTTGACTTAGTTTTTATAATTATGCTAATTGGACTCACCTTTTTAAAAATAAAAGTAAACTAATCACTTTTTCCCAATACACCTTTATTAGATTTGTTTTTTCCAGCTTTTTTTGTATCCAGCAAAATGACAGTAACTAAAATAAATCTGCTCTTCCAGGCTCCAGGGTGTCTTCTAAATTCAATACAGGCTAGATTTTATGAACTTATTAAAGCACCAAATATTGAATATTGTAATAATTACAGTAATTATTTGAAAACAGACGTGTTAAAATAGTCTGACATTGTAAAAAGGGATTAGATGACTTAAAAAAAAAAAGAGTACAATTATCACAATTATAAAAATTAAGTCAACTTAACAGTATCAGGTTACAATGGGTTTACTTACATTATCTTTGTGAAGTCAACTTGTTGCTTTCAAGGCAATTGGTTTACTGGCTTTAAGTAACTACTCATTTTTACAGTGCATGGTGCACTTTTGACTATATCTAGAAATAAATGTATAATAGATACTTACTTATATTGACACATGTATGCATACACAGTTGAAGTCAAAATTATTAGCCCCATTATTGTGAAATGTTAATACTTGAAGTATTTTCCAAGTGACGTTTAACAGGGCAAGAACATTTCGACAGTGCTTTTTTAAATATTATTTCTTCTGGAGAAAGTCTTATGATTATTTTTAATTTAGCTGGAATAAAAGCCTTTACATTTTTAAAACTATTTTAGGTCAAAAGTATTAGCCCCTTAAGGCATTTGTTTGATTTCACACGAGGGCTCATAATTTGCACTTCAACTGTCTTTGAATTACAGTTGGGCGATTGCTTTATTTACATGAACACAGGAAGTAACAATTGATTTATCTCACTACCTAATACAGGGGTGTCCAAACTCAGTCCTGAAGGGTTGGTGTCCTGCAGAAAGCCTAGTAAGAGCTTGATTAGTTAGCCTATGTGTCTCTGATTGGAGCTGGAACTAAACTTTTGCAGAACTTCGGCCCTCCAGGACTGAGTTTGGACACCCCACACCTAATAGTTTAAAAACACAGGCAGGGTGAATGCAGTATCACCATGAAGTCATCGTCCAAAAACTGAATGTACATTGTGCTTTTGTTTTCTGGTTGCAGCAGTGTGTCAGAAATGTCAGACACGTGTCTTTTGAGTCTAGACGGCAGCTCTACGTCTGCACGAACACGTCCGCTGGTGGCCTGCAGGAGGCGACGACTGATCCACCCTAACACCATCCACAACCTCAACGGCAAGGTGTGTCTGTGGGATGTTTGCTAGCGTGTGTTAATGGACGCTTTTCACATTTCCAGGGGTACTCAGTTGCAGAAGTCCTCATAGTTGGGTAATCTTAGACTGCAGTGAACAAATATTTTTTTTTTTACAATCCTATTTGCTGAAATACTAAAAGAAAAACTCCACAATTGTGTTATCAAGACTTTCAGAAAAGGGAAAAATAGTGTGAGACTGATAATGGCAGCAAGAACAGAGAATAATGTCAGGTTTACTGTCCTGCCCCCATAGACACTGCATAACAAACACATTGCACAAGCCGTAATTAGTTTTGTTTTTGTAATTTGATGCAAAGATAATATGATGCATACATAAATACATATAAATGTTCATGTGTTTTTTTTAAGATAAAAATATTAAAAACTTTCAAGCATTTAAGATTATTGATGATTGCTAAACACTAAAACAGTGTTGTGAAAAGGCTCCATATCACAGGAGCATGTTTTAGTTGTTGGTTCTAATGTGTGACCTACGTTTTCAGGTTCAGAGAGTGTGTTTCTCTCCTCTGCGAGTGTGTGAGGTCAACAGCTCGTGCGTGATGTGTGGCAGCGCTCGATCCCTCCTGAAAGCAGACTCGCCGTATGATCGCCCTCTGCTGGAGAGAGTCGCACATCACGACCGCAGTGTCCACCCCGTTCTGTCCATGCAGTCAGGTGAGAGGAGAGATAACAGCGGTTTTAGAATCAATTCAATTGCAGGTAGTTTTGTACATAATTATTTACATGATTAAAAATAATAGCTTTATAAAGTACAATGTAGTGATGCATTTAAGGAAAGCAAATTAGTTTAAATAACAGCTTAAACTAAAACTTTTGTTAATTGTCATTGAATAAAATGTATCTATATCGTTTATTAATTTCTGTTTAACGGAGAGATGTTTTTTTTCAACACATTTCTAAACATAATAGTTTTAATAACTCATTTCTAATAACTGATTTATTTTATCTTTGCCATGATGACAGTAAATAATATCTGACTAGATATTTTTCAAGACACTTCTATACAAGTTAGTGACATTTAAAAGCTTAACTAGGCTAATTAGGTGAACTAGGCAGGTTAGGGTAATTAGGCAAGTTATTGTATAACGATGCTTTGTTCTGTAGACTATCAAAAAAAAAAAAAAATAGCGTAAAGGGGCTAATAATTTTGTTCTTAAAATGGTTTTTAAAAAATTTAAAACTGCTTTTAATCTAGCCGAAATAAAACAAATAAGACTTTCTCCAGGAGAAAAAATATTATCAGACATACTGTGAAAATTTCCTTGCTCTGTTAAACATCATTTGGAAAATATTAAAAAATTCAAAAAAATTCAAAGGGGGGCTAATAATTCTGACTTCAACTGCACACATATATATATATATATATATATATATATATATATATATATATATATATATATATTCATTAATTTTTTCTTGTCGGCTTAGTCCCTTTATTAATCCGGGTTCGCCACAGCGGAATGAACCGCTAACTTATCCAGCAAGTTTTTACGCAGAGGATGCCCTTCCAGCCGCAATATATATATCATAAAAAAATAGTAAACTAATATGTATTTAGATTTCCATTTAAATTACATCATTAGTTTTCACCAATTCATTGTTAAAATGTAAACAGTGAACTGAGATGTTGACACTCTATAATGAAAACTATATTTATTCAAGCAAAATATAGTTAATTTCATATATGCAAGTCATAACTTGAAATTTTCAGCTTCTATGTATTTAATATTTATGGTTGTGTGTTTGAGTATAACTTTTAATACTATTGTGAAGTTTAAAATAAAAATAATAATAATTTTGAGCAATTTGTTTTGGATAAAATAACAAAATAGTGCCATGTTTTCAGACATGTTTATATTCCTTTTTTAACACACCACCAATATTTTTACTTCAGAATAGTTAAGAAATCCATCTTTGGTAAAATAACACTGATTCTTTAGCCATCACAAAAATGAAAAAATTCTGCCCAATGGTCATTTTCTGAAAAAAATAAATAAATAAATGGTTACACTTTAAGTGCCAATTTTCTGTATTAACTTGTGGTTTATTACTTGCATATTATTATAATATTGGTTGTTTATTAGTACTTATAAAGCACATATTCTGCATGACCTTATCAAACATCCTTAATCCAAACCAAATGCCTAAACGCGATTACTATCTTACTAACCATTAATAAGCAGCAATGAGAAGTTTATTGAGCTGAAATTATAGTTAATGCTTTATTAATAACAGTAATTGTACCTTAAAATGTGAACAAAAATGCTCTTATTGTTTTTTTATTTGAAGGACGTTTTATCAGGTGCTTATAGAGTAAAACAATTCTAAACATTTTACTCAAACCCATACCTAACGAGTGCAGAGAAACCGAGAATTATTAAAAGGTCTCTGAATTATGGATGCTGAAAGAATACAAGTTAAGCTGTTTTATTGATATTGACATTTGATGCTTTAAAAAAATATATTATTTTTTTACTGTTTGTTAAAACACACTTTAATGTTCCTTCATGTTTAAACAAGGAAATATTTTTATTTTTTTATTTTTTCTAGGTCATGGAATTTTTTATTCTTGCAAATAGCATTTTACATTTTATAACAATCCACAAAACAATCCCAGATTAAAACAATCAACATTTACAAATGAGTAAATAAATAAATAAAATTAACAAAATAATAATAAATAAAATAAAATACAAATACAGAAAAAAAAATTATATAAAAAAAAATACAATTACAAGCCATATACATACATACACATGTACCTTCACTCAATCCAAATCTAAGGTTTTTAAGTGATTAAAGAATGCAATAAATTGTTGCCATTTTTCAAAAAAATGTTCTTCTCTACCTCTGATATTGTATTTAATTTTCTTAAGTTTTAAAAAGAAGACCAAATCTTTGAGCCATAATGAAATAGAGGGTGGTTGTGGGGAGGTCCAAGACAAAAGTATTCTGCGCCTAGCGAGAAGAGATGCAAAAGCCACAATGTCAGCATGTCTCCGGTTTAAAGGTTGACACTGAGAGGGAACACCAAAGATCGCGATTAAAGGGCAAACAGCTAACTTGACCCCCAGCGCATGAAGTGGAGGTGCGCACATTGTCCAATACTGCACTCCAGTAGTCAACTTCAAACTCTAAGTCAAGTTCCTATTCCCAGGCCCTGATAGCTTTAATGTTATGAGAATTGTCCTTTGACAAAATAATTGCGTATATTTTAGAAATAATCCCACTGGTATGAACATTCAGTTTAAATACCTCTTCCCATGGAGACTTCGTAGGCAGGGAGGGAAACTCAGAGAACAGAGAGGAAGCACAATGTCTAATCTGAAAATAACGAAATAAGTGGGAGGGGATAAATATTGATGATAATTCCGAAAAATTTGCAAACACATTGTTAACATAGAGATCTTCAAAGCATTTCACAAGGAAATATTTTAAGGAAGTTACCAATCCACCATTCACAGCTCTGTTTTATTGATTAGTCGGTGCGGTCCTAGATGTGTTTTACTCTTCTTCAAGTGTAATAACTGTATGTGAATTCTGTGCTGTTCTTCTCCTCTGCTCTGTCAGATGTGGCATTCAGCGTACAGTTGCAGAAGGTGTTGAGGACTCACTGGCAGACTCGACCCTTTGACAGGATCAAACCGCTCAAGAAGATCGCCCTCAAACACAAGCTCTCCACCACACCTCCGTCATCATCATCACCGTCTTCATCCTCCTTCCTCTCCAAACACAAATTCAGACTGTCCAACTCGCATGCGGCAGCAGTCCGTAAGTTCACTCATGGGTGTTCACAGACTGAGGGGGCTTTTACACCTATAGATTGCTGGTTTTGTTCCGAATAAGGGATTAAAATTGTTAGAAATGAACTTTCTGTTTGTTGTGCTTTCTCTCTCGCTTTCACAAGCCAAAGTTTCTAAACTAGTCAATGTGTGTTTGATTCTTCTTCCCTGTCAGGATTTGCTCGCCACAAGAGCAGGTCGGAAAGGTTTCACAGGCTGCCAGTGGAAAACATCTCATGTGTCCCAAAGCCAGAAACACTCACACCCTGCAGGACGGGCCGAGTGCTGGACCGGAGCCAGAGCCGAAAGAGGGTCCGAGAGCCCTCGCTGGACAGAGCAGACTGTGAGTGCACAGATTCCTGAACTGACCCTGCATGAACTCTAATTATTATAATTTTAGTTATTTTAGAGATTCACACAATTATTACCTGCAGACAGGCATAAAATCTGCTCTGAGTGGAGTACAGTCGGCATTTACTGGGGTTACACTTGAAAATGGCTAAAACTACTGTTTAAACATGCTGCAAATGGCCTGTGTTTATCACCTATTTGTATCTGTATCTAAAAATAAATGAAGATGATGAAGTTACCAGCCTACAGGTGAATAACTGTTTCGTAGACTCACCATTAACATAAGTACTTTTAACATCACTTTATGTAGTGTAAAAAATATACAATTTGCACAAAAAAAATATACTGGCCCTTTCTATCAGTGCTTCAGGATATTTCAGCTGAACAAATTGACTCTCATCAGCATGAAATTAAACACGCTGCCATGAAATCTCATTTCAGTAAAAGAGGTTCGGAAATAACAAGTGCTGAGGCAAAAAGCCACTCAATTGAAATTCTATTATTTAGAAATGTGGACCAAAAAACACCTGTGCATTTAATTAAATGTATTACAGCAGTAGCTGGTAAAGAGAATTAATAACAATTAATATTGATTGCAAGTATATTGTTCAACTTAACATGCTTGTTTCACCACAGATTTCCTTTCACATAGTTATTTTACACTGTTGAGCATTAAAACGGTTAGTAAAATTATAAATAAGTACAATTTATATTCATTCTAAATCGATATGTTCCATGATGCATCATTATTCATGATAAGATCACTGTCAGTAACTGATAATATTACTTTTAACCCTGTAATGTGTTCCTCTTGGTTTGTATTTGTTGTGTTAATACATTTACAAATACACTACACCTCAAGCATTTAACAGCTTGTGGAAATAAACGGCCATGTCACTTTTATTGGAGATAAAGCTGGATTTATATTTTCGCCTGGCGCCACATCGCATACCTCCACTGACTGCACGCACACCTCACCAAATGGATGAGGCTTTTATACTTGCTGCGTTCGCCGTTGTGATATTCTTTAAACGACAGGGAGCAGTCAAAAGAAGCTGACCGTAAAGACAGACAGATAAACAGAAGTAGGGGGTTTGTGGAACTACATTATATCATTAATTCATTCGATATTTTTAAACTAATTTTTAAAAATATTTTTAGAAATTCTTTTAATGATTATAAGGATTTTTATCACCATTCATAATTTTTTTAATCAAGCTTTGATGCATCGCTTGCTTTTGTTCATATCTCGGACAGTTTTTCCTATTAAAGTTTATTAAAATATTAATGAAGAGGACATGAGTTGCTCTACAAATATATTCTTTATTGTGGCAAGAATAAAAGCAAAAAAGTACACTTACTAAAAAAATACTAATATTTTTTTAGATTTAGCCCGCTCCACACTTCACACATTACTGTCTGGCTAGTTTCTGTCTTCTTATGCCTAAAAGGCAATAATGGTCCAACATTCCTGACCATTATCATCAATAAAGCCTAGATAAACGGGCATCAGTATATTGTAAACCGACAGGTTCAAATATTCTTTTCCAGTCATCAAAGAAATAATTTGTTCCTTAATTATAGTTTTGAAACTATTAAATTGTTTTAAATTCTAAATTGTAATTTATACATCAGTGTAAACCTATAAAACATATTTGTGTAATTGTGTACGCAGGCCTCTTTTGGCTTTAACAAACGTCTTCCTCGGGTTTTTCCAAACTTTTTAACAAAAACTTTCCACTTTCCCACGGCTGTCGCAATTTCTAGCCAAGAATAATTGATCATCTGGTTATGTCTATGATTACGGGTCATAAAGATCGTACCGATTTCAGACAAAATCTCTTCAAGTGATTCATATTCAACTCAAATCAGTTGCCACGCCACATGAACTGTTCGCTCGAGTCTAAAACTAAAAAATTATTCGCTTCACCAACTGAAATCATGTCACGCTCACCCAAACCGAACCTCTGCAAACACTGCGATAACGTCACATTCACATTATAGTATAAACCAGGCTTAAGATGGCTTTGTAAGTAAAATAAGACAATACAGTTACATGTAATGCTGTCAAAAAATTAGTCACATCCATCAAAGTTTGTAATTACATATTTTATCTTTGTGTGCATTATATTCAAAGATTTTGCATATAAATATAAATAAACAGATTGTCAATATTTATGCATTACAAATGCATACATTAATAATTATTAATGCACATAATAAATAAACAGGTCGCACTACAACCATTATCTGCAGTCGCACTAATGCACCTAAATATATTATAAGGTCGCATAGATTAATTTTCGGGCGCATATGCGACCAAAATGGTCGCAATTTCGAGCCCTGATATATATATATATATGTGTGTGAATTGTATTTGTGTTTTTTCCTTTTTTTAAGTAGCACCGAAAGTGGTGATGGATGCAGGCAGTCCATGTCCGTCTCTGTCCGGTCTTCACTCTACCAACACCAGTCCTCTGACCAGACAGCTCTCCCTCCCGATCGAGAGCAGCACTCCTCTGGGAAGCAATGTGGTACGTTCATAAGTTCAAAATTTTACTTACTAAACTAATTAGATTGCTGTGTGTTTTATGATATGCTATAATACATTTAAACGTGCATTGTTTTTTATTATTATTTACCATGTATACATAGACATTACGGTAAACATTAGGTCATAAAAATTTACTTGAATGTCCCGGAAAAGTTATGAAAAAATCATGGAATTTTAGTTGTAAAAATGTGCATGAACCCTGTCACAGGCAAATCAATGCTTGTTCATGTGAGTAACAAGAACACATTGTAAACTATCAGAGACGTGATCTCAGAGAATTGCCGAGTAGTTGCTGAGACGTGAGATATTTGGCATGCTAAATATCTGGAGCTGTCAGCGATTCAAATCATGCCATGTGAAATGAGTTTGGACTGAAATTAACATCGGTGATTACCCACAGCCAATGAGAGAGCAGCATCCACTAGTGTGGGGATCTGCAGGCCAGCGGGAGGTTGGGGGAGAAGTTAAAAGAGCTAATTTTTGGTTTATTTGGATCCAACAAATGGGGGGAAACCAGTGTAAATGTGGCAGGAGCACTAGTGTCTGTTTGATGTGTCGTGAACAATATCACAACCAGGTCGAAAAAGAATAAAGTTGAGGAGAAATTGCTAACTCACTTCAAACCCAGATGAGCAAATATTTACATTTTCTACCCCATTGAAGGCTTCTTTCTCATTATGTAGTTAATAACAATAGATATACTACATGTTTTTGGTTGTGAGACATAATTTGGACAAAGTTGTTGGCGATATTTCTTATTGTAAAGTCATGCAGCCGATCCATCTTGCAGTGTAAACAAAGCAGCGACAAAACGCTAGCCCAGATAGTCATGCAGTGTGGAAACATCTGTGACATGACCACTTTAAAATCATGCAGTCTGAACTCGGCATTAAATAACTTCAAGAACCGTCCCATTCCTAATATTTATTTATTGAATAAAACTTATTTTGAATGTTTAAAACTTGCTGCTCTTAAAAAGCTTTAAATTAAATTTTAAGAAACGTTGACGGCGAGCCCGATAGTCTTGCCTACTAGCCAGTGTTGAAATATTGAGAATTGAAGGCACAGAATTGGAAGCTCATAATGTTTTGGATCATTTATAATGATGTATATATTGTTTTAAACAGCCTATACGGAGAAGAAGAGGCGAGAGTCCGTTTGATATCAACAACATCGTCATTCCCATGTCAGTGGCTGCAACTACCCGAGTGGAGAAACTGCAGTACAAAGAGATCCTCACACCCAGGTCAGCCTTCATCAGCCACAAATCACCTTAACCCACACAACAACATCTAGTATCTGTTTTACAATAGAAGAAATAAACGTGCTCTACTCACACTTATATTTCTTGTTTTTCAGATGGAGGGAAGTGGACACTTTGGCTCAACCGCTTTCAGAGGAAGACAATAACATTCAGGTATATCAATGTTTTTTACGGTTTACAGTTTACCCCTTTTTTATGGTTTAATATTAGTATTATGGTTCTTCAGAGTGTGCCAGTTGAGGTTCAGTTCAACACACAGTTCAGATGTTTTTATTCTAATGTGTTAAAAAGTGTCATGGTGGGGGCGTTTACACAGCTCGCTGTTTTAGGGCTGTCTTGCTTCACATAAAAATTAATTTTAGCTTCCCGCCCAATGTAACAAGGCACGGCACACCAGACACACTCTTGGGCGCGGCAGAATCCTTAAGTGTCCCGAATCGTTGCGCCACGCATTTTAGATCTCCAAACACAGGCCTCCATCAGGGTAAACACACTGGCGGCTATTCGCATCGCACAGCCGTTGGCTTGAAGCGCCATTGTGTGTACCATGACAGAAACCCAGAACTCCAAAATGCATGGCGCTGTGTCAGCGCCGCACCACGCAGAGTGGCGCTTCTGGTGTGCGTCCTGCAGGCAAATTCGTTATTTTATTTCCAATGGAGAGATGCACACATGAAGAGACGCGCTTGCACTTTTCCAGCTGCACCTAGTTAAGATCACAGGGAGCTTCTGTGACCTCGAGAAATGCAAACGGCTGAAGTTTAAGGTAGACGCAATGAAAACTACACGTGCTTGCAAACCTACAAAAGGTACAAGCAATAATTCTGATTAGAGTGATAATGTGGAGAATATTGATCTTGAGTTGAGCCCAATGAGCCTTACGTCTAAAAATAGAGCAAGGGTGTTCCTTAAGCGATTTTGCTTTGACTCGCGCCGAAAATGGTGGACGTAAAACAACAAACTGAGGATATGGTGACGCGCCTGTCAATCAATATTGGTGGGCGGGGGGAACGCACTCCTACGTCAAGTTGTGGTCGCTCTGAAAACCGTTCCAATTGGTCCACCGTTTTTATGTTGTAAAATTGACTGTGTGTGTTTATGTCACCCCAATATGACAGTCTATACACTATACCTACACACGTCTGTCCAAACAGCTTGAAAAGTAGATTTTTTTTACCATAGGTGCCCTTTAAGCTTGTCAAAATTGCACTCGCATAAAACAGAAGAGTTGAATACTGTATTGTGTCTTTTTTAAATTCTGCTTTGCAGTTTTTTCTGATAAAAACAATGTGGTTTGTCCATGTGTAGGTTGAGGATCTTTCAGACGCAGTGTTCGCTAAACTCCACCAGCTGTGTGAGGATCAGGAACGCTCTCGCTGGAGATGGACAGCTCTCGCACCAGCCAAGAGGAGAGGCAGCAGGTACATGACCTCTCTCTCTCTCTCTCTCTCTCTCTCTTCAATTCAATAATTGCTTTATTGGCATGACAAATGTATTGCCAATGCAGTTATAAAGTTTACATAAAAAGTAACATACATATATTATAAAAACAGTAAACACAGTAAATAGCAATAAAAAAGAAAAGAAAAAAAAGATATTTATATATAATAATTAAATAAAATATCAACAATACATGATATTATTCAATATATCACATTAATATTCAATATATTATATTATTATTCAACATATATTATTCCTAAAAATCAATACAAAAATATATCAGAATAAACTGTACATTTAACAATCAACATTTTAGGATAAAACAGTAATAAAACAATAATAATCAGTATATTTACAATGATTCCTTTATAATCAGCTCTCTTTCTCTCTCTCTCTTTAAAGTTTCTTTCTTTTTTTATTCGAGTTATTTTAACTAATCATATTATCTTTCAGGTCATATAAATCTCTGGACGGGCGAACAACCCCATCGCTAATCGGAACAAACCCTTCGACGCCGCAGCCCTCCTCTCCAGACACCAGTCAGTTCCAGATCCTGCAGGATTACGGAGCGGTGCCGTCAATGTCGCCCCTGAGCCCTGCCAGCCCTGACACACCACACAGACTGATGTACAGCGAAGACACCTGCGGCTCCACCTCAGACTGCACACTGGAGGAGAAGGTGACACACACACACACACACACACACACACACACACTGTCCTGCTCACTTCATTCATACAGTCAGTTTTATTGTTATTAAAACTCATTTGTATTAGTCTTCTGTATGCTCAGCTTTTTTTATAAGGAAAAAAAATCTAAATATGTGACCTTGGGCCAAAAAACTATTCACAATTTTATTGGGAATCACAATTTTTGGGAATTTGGATTTGTGTGATGCTGCTGAAAACTAATAAATAAGCTTCACATTTATGCATGAATTTGTTGTGATAAAGTTTTTAAAAATCTTAAATCTGAGGGTTAAAATGAATCTTAATATTGAGAAAATCATCTTTAAAGTTATCTTAATGAAGTGCTTTGTAAAGCACATTGATACTCAAAAAATGAATTGGATATATTTACATTAGAAAGATTGCTAAATGTCTTTATGGATGATAATCTTTGCTTGATGATGTAATAGTTTTGTCATTGGAAAAGGGTCATTTTCACTCATACAATATATCTTTGGCTATTTTCACAAACATAGCTTTGCAACTTAAGTCTTTTGTGCTCCAGGGTCACATATTTCCAGGATTTGTCTCATCATCACTTTTGCGGAGTAATAAACTACATTCTTTAGGGGAAAAAAAAGTTAGGAAAGCTGTCACTGGGCCAGAACCTTTTCAAAGATAAACTTTTGCTCCTTTTTTACCCCTAAAAAAGATACAATGTAGTTCCTGAGGTATACATTAGTACCCCAGTCACAGCAGTTTTTTATGCATGCATATAGAGCAGAATTTTAGAACTGTATATCTTAAATTTACTAGTTGATATAAAAAGTGCACTTTAAGATTGAGCAGTTGTAGTGTGAATTAAAATACATTTCGACATTTCTGTTATTGAAATATCTACACCTGTTTAGCTTCTGTTTTACCTTACAGCAAACAACAGCATTTATTATATAGTTGAAGTCAGAATAATTAGCCCCCCTTTGAATTTGAATTTTTTTTTTTTTTTTTTCCCTCAAATGATGTTTAACAGTACAAGGAAATGTTCACAGTGTCTGATACAATTTTTTCTTCTGGAGAAAGTCTTATTTGTTTTATTTTGTCTAGAATTAAAGCAGTTTTTAATTTTTTAAAAGCCATTTTAAGGTCAAAATTATTAGCTCCTTTAAGCAATTTTTTCCCCAATTAGTCTACAGAACAAACCATTGTTATACAGTAACTTGCCGAATTACCCTAACCTGCCTAGTTACCCTAATTAACCTAGTTAAGCCTTTAGGCAAGGCAAGTTTATTTATATAGCACATTTCATACACCGTGGCAATTTAAAGTGCTTTACATAAACAAGAATAAAAGAAACAAGTAAAATAAAAATAAAAACAAATAATAAAAATGCATAAAAAAACATAAAAACAGGTAAAATGTGATATAAAAGAATGAAGAAGAAGAGAAAAACATGAAAGTGCTTTAAATGTCTCTTTAAGCTTTATAGAAGTGTCTTGAAAAATATCTAGTCAAATATTTTTTACTATAAAATAAATAAAATAAAGCTTCACAAAAAAAGGATAAAATAAATCAGTTATTAGAAATGAGTTATTATGTTTAGAAATGAGTTGAAAAAAATCTGCCCTCCAATAAACAGAAATTGGGGGGAAAATAAACAGAGGAGCTAATAATTCTGTAATATATATATGCCACTTTTGGTCTGTTTAATCCATCCTTGCACAAAATAATTTCTATGATAATTGTATATAATTTATACATGTAGATAAAATTCTCACAGGCAGTATTTTTTTATTTTATTGCCTTGATAAGGTACATTCTTTGATTTCTCGAAACCTGTCGAGTCAAAACTGGGGCTAAAATCATGCAGTCTGAACTCTGCATTAGTGTAATTGGATGTACTGTTTTTAACACCCCTTATGTTTTTTTGTTTGTTTGTTGGATTTTTGTGGCAGACGGTGCAGCCCTGGGACCTCAGGAGTTTTCCTTTACCTGAAGACCCGATAGTGGAGCCAGAGCCAGAGCAAGATGAGCTGAGCTTTTCTGCAGGCCTCAGAGTCAGCGTGGAGTCCGAGAGCGACGCTTCCTCACCCTGATTAAAGACAGACCACGCGGACGGGCGATCTTAAAACCACACACCTCTTATGGCATTAATTGAGGAAAACACAAACTCATACTAATCAAAGCAAAACTACAAACGAATCTGTCGGGACTTCTGTTGTTTGATATTCAAACATCAGCCAATTATTTTCACAGTTTTTAGTGAATATTACCGGACATAGAAAGCTAAACCTGTTTTCTTTATTTTGTTTTTCTCTCAGAAGAAACGCGTAAAGGAGATGTATGAAAGTTTTTTCCATAATTGTTTTTCATAGTCAGCTAAATATATCATCGGGAACTTAGTGTGGTATTCTAACCTGTCAGGTGAACACTATGTAGTGCACTGTGTAGCAGACGTAAAGAGGGCTTGACCAAAGGGTGCCTCTCTGCTGACTCGTTATATATATGTATGCTTGTGTTGTGAAGTGACGAACCAAAACCTGACGAAGATACTTGCCTGCATTATTCTCAGTTAGTGGATGGTCGTACGCCGAGCTCCGTTCAAAAGCACTTCACAGGGCACCGATATCTCTTCCTCGCTTTTCGCTCTTTCTTTCGGTTTTCTTTATGGTTTCCACCAAGCGTATGGAGTATTGCTATGCTAATGTTCATCATGACATCATGTATAATGGAGGAATCGCAAGCCTTTAGTGCACATTAGTTTAGCTGTACGTGCTCCGGGCTCTTTCTGCATCATCTGTTGAGATTGTACTTTTGTATCGTTGGTCTTAAAGGAGCCAGATGTTTCACACAGACCTGCCCTTCTCAGGTTTATGCAGTTGTTTGGGAAGCTGTTAACAAGGCGTCCGTCTGTTTTATCTCCTCACCTTGTCAATATTTGTGTGACCCCGACTTAGTGTTCCTACTCAGCACTGTCTTCGCCCTTCGAGAATCTACTTGCTATGCAACTCGACATTATTGTTGTGGCCCTGTCCTTTTCTTTTTCATACAATCACCATGTCTTTCTTTTGTTTTATTTCTTTGACATGTCTTTCTCTTCATAGCTTTTTGAGACAGGTTTCATTGTAATTCGGACTGTTTCAGACGTGAAATCATTTGCAGAAAAAAAAAGAAAAAGAAAAACACCCTTTTTGTAAATAGTACCATTAAAACAAATCAAACTCCATTCAGACTTTGCGTCTCCATAATGTGTGCGTGCGTGCGTGCGTGCGTGCGTGCGTGCGTGCGTGCGTGCGTGCGTGCGTGCGTGCGTATGCGTGCGTATGCGTGCGTGTGTGCTCTGCCAGTGTGAATTTAATTTTAGTTATAATGTGATTTGACTCCATACAGTGATGGAACTCATAATTAGTATTTTTTAAACATTTATTTGTGATTATTTTCTCAAGCTTTAACAAAAAATTTTGTACATTTAAGGATGTAATTTCCCCCCCATTTTGAACATTGCCGCCGAAATTAATTAGCAAACAAATAAAATTAAAATACAATTACAACAGGAATAGATAAAAGTATAGCAAAATTGAAAATATTAATAATAATAGTAAATAAATAAATAAAAAGAATAAAATAATAATAATAGTAAATAAAAATAAACTTTAAAAATAATTCAAATAAATAATTACCCACAGTACATGATAATCCTTCTATTGATGAGGTGTGTGATCGATGTAGAAGTGAACAGGCAGACTTTTTCCATATGTTCTGGGCTTGTCAAAAGTTGAGTGACTATTGGACACAAATATTTAAAACATTAAATGACGCCTTTAATTTAGAGATAAAACCTAGTGTTGAGTTAGCTATCTTTGGGGTACCAGAACACAATATATTGTTGACAAACAAGAAAAAAAAATGCATTCGCCTTCGCTACTTTGTTAGCAAGGAGTAGAATACTACTTGAGTGGAAATCAGCAGCTTCACCTAAAGCTTCAATGTGGATGTGTGATCGGATTTTATTTTTGAAATTAGAGAAAATTAAGTATTTAATGAAGGGATCTGTCCAAAAATGTTATGAGACATGGCAACCTATGATCACATATTTTGAAAGAAGGAAGAGTCTCTCCTTTAACTGATTTATATAAATAAATCTGTGTTAACAGGTTTAACTGTGATCACCACTATAGTTTAGTTTGATGATTATGTAAAAGACCACTATAAATGTAACAGAATTGATTTGTATTATCATAATTAGTATTTTTAACTTTAAAAAATACTTATTAAAATATTTTTTTTGAATGCTAGAAATACAAATAAAACATGCATCACTGCATTGATATAGCCTAAAAACAGCAACAAAGGGTATGAGTATGCCCACACGGAATCTGCGTGCGCAGAATTCCGCACATTTTCCGCAGATTTTGACCATCATTAGTTCTGTTTATTTGCTTGCGTAAATGTGTGTAAATCTAAATTTGTTCAGTTTTTTAATTAATTACAGTAATATTATTGACTAATATGAAATTGTTCATCTGATTTATGCACAATGCAGTTTGTAAAGTAATATTTTCTGTCTTTTAGTAGAGCTATTATATGAGACTCTTGCTTTGTGTAACCAAAGAAAGTAAATCTAATTGGATTTGCAATTTAAACATTAAATAAAAGTTAAAAAGGTATTACTTTTTATTTCACATATTACGGTTTTAGTTATTATACTCTCAAAATAATTCTGCAGAAATCTGCAGATTTTTACCAAAATTCTCAGCAGAAATAGCAAAAAACGTCCGCAGATTCCGTCTGGCCCTGGGTATGAGTATGAAAGAGAAAAGTACAAACAATATTTACAAAACCTCAATCATTAAGAAAAATTACTATAAGCTTTATAAACTTATTGTTCTTAATACGTTTAAGACATTCAACGAGGGAAATTTCAGCAAGTTAAATACAAAATCTACGTATTGCGTTTAAAATCTTAATGTGTAAAATAAGTAACCAAGTTATCAATAGGATCAATAGCATGGTCACTACCTGAGAAACATCAATCATATTTAATCAAAGATGATGGATAAAGAAGGTTATCCAAAAGTCAGCATAAAGCTGCAGTCGCACTAAAGTTTGAGCTTGAGAAATTCTGTCGTACGGTGCTGTGAAAGTGGGCGGGGTTAAACATTGATTAGACAAGCCAGCGATTGGTCCATATTTAAAATTTACGTCCAGTGAGGTCATGTTTAGATCCTTGATTGGTTTCACGCAGTCAAATTATGCGATTTTGCTTGTCAGAGTTCACCAGGCTAGAACTTTCCAACGCAGCGAACTGCAAAACTTGATGCACGACCTTGCGTTTCCGGTCTGATGCATTCGCTTGCGTATGAATGGAAGTCATGGGGAGAAGAGTCCAGTGTGACCACAGCTTTAGTTCCTGATGCGATGATGACGTCCAGGTGAGTGTGATTTCACCAACATTTTACTGAATCAACATCTCTGTCTATCCTGGAACACTGTTTCAAATCAGCCAACCAGATTTGAGGGATGCGTTTACATTGTCAAATTTAGGCATACATTTAAGCTTTTGCGATTAATCCCCTCTGATTTTGGAAATCAGTTATAGTTAAGGTTTGTTTATGGGTAGAGATTAAGTTTGGACTATATTCATTTTCTTTTCAGCTTAGTCTCTATTAATCAGGGGTCGCCACAGTGGAATGAACCACCAACTTATCCAGCATGTTTTACGCAGCTGATGTCCTTCCAGCTGCAACTCATCACTGGGAAACACCCATACACTTTTAGCATTCACACTTATACACTATGGCCAATTTAGCGTATTCAATTCACCTATAGCCCATGTGTTTGGACTGTGGGGGAAACCGGAGCACCTGGATGAAACCCAAGCCAACATGCGGAGAACATCCACACTCCACACGGAAATGCCAACTGGCCCAGCCAGGAACTTGTGAGACTACCATGACACCTTAGACTATATTTTCGATCCAAAACTATGTAATACGATCAACATAGGTAATAATGTAGGATGTCCTACTTGGCAAAACCCACAGACCTCTTAAGACAACAAGAGAATATGTAATAAATATAAAGTGCTAAAATGCTTTGCTAGTGAGATACATACATTTTAGTACAAGCATGACCAAAATGTTTGGGGAAAAATAAATAAATAAATTAATATATATATATATATATATATATATATATATATATATATATATATATATATATATATATATATATATATATATATATATATATATATACATACATATATATATATACATATAGAGAGAGAGAGATCACAATAAAAATGAGAACAACAAAATTTATATGTTGGGGAAAATGTACATACATATATATTTAGTTTTGAACAGGAAAACTAAAGAGAAAAAAAAAAATATATATATATATATAAACCTTGTGTATTTTTAGTTGTAATAACTGATTTAAGTTAAAATGAGCAAACTTTTATTTTAATAGATATATCTAATAAAACTATTTTCTTTAAATAGACCAACATATACCTTTATATTATGATATTTTGACTATATTCACTGAGAAATTATGAAAAATGTTCATGTCAGAAGATGGAGACACTGTAGTCATTAAGGGATGGACATGGTCAACAACAATACTCAGGTATGCTGTGAGTCCACACTTTGAGTCCAAAGTGTGTCAAGAAAATATCCCCCACACCATTACACCACCACCAGCCTGTTGATCCTATGCAGGATGGATCCATGCTTTCATGTTGTTGATGCCAAATTCTGACCCGACCATCCGAATGTGGCAGCAGAAATAAAGACTCATCAGAGCAGGCAACGTTTCTCCAATCTTCTATCGTCCAGTTTTGGTGAGTCTGTGTGAATTGTAGCCTCGGTATCCTGTTCTTAGCTGACAGGAGCGGCACCCTGTGTGGTCTTCTGCTGCTGTAGCCCATCTGCCTCATGGTTAGGCGTGTTGTGTGTTCAGAGATGCTCTTCTGCAGACCTGAGCTGTAACGAGTGCTTATTTGAGCCACTGTTGCCTTTCTGTCAGCTGGAACCAGTCTGGCCATTCTCCTCTGGCATCAAGGCATTTGCACCCACAGAACTGCCGCTCACTGGATATTTTCTCTTTTTTGGACTATTCTCTGTAAAGCTTAGAGATGGTTGTGCATGAAAGTCCCAGTTACAGTCACTTAAATCCCCTTTCCTCCCCATTCTGATGCTCGGTTTGAATTGCATCAGATCGCCTTGACCATGTCTACATGCCTAAATGCATTGAGTTGCTACCATGCGATTGGCTGATTAGAAATTTGCGTGAACGAGCAGATGGACAGGTGTACCTAATAAAGTGGCCGATGAGTATATATTATTTGAACTCAAAAGCCATGGTTTTCCTTCAGAAACACAATAAAGCATCAGGACATTTTGCTTAATATCCTTTATTTCCAAATTCACATGTACATCAACAAGTATCATTGTAAACCAGTTATTAATAAAACACACGAACAATATTGACAACCACAGTTCCCAAGCTAAAATTTACAACTGCAAAAATGGTGTATGGAGTCGATGACAACAGGATGGCAAAACTGCACCCAGAACCATGTCACAGGTGTGCTATCGTGAGACATTTAAACCAAAGGACCCTCTCTGTCTGTCTGTCTGTCCTCTAAACACTCGTTTTCCCCCGCTCAACACAACATCACCAACATATCCAAGCTCTCCAGAACTTTCCAAAAACACCCCGAGTCAGAAAACGTTCAGAAACATGTTGCCAATCCATGTAAAAACTCAGCATGCAGATTAAAGTGTTGCAGGCATGGTCTCTGAACTTCTCTGCTTATTATTATTATTATCATCATCATTTTTTTTTTAAGTCTCTTCCAAGTCCTCATATAAACATACAGTCATAAACATACAATAAACATACATTAAATATATCTAATGGTAGTTACACGGCTCCATCTCCAACACAAAGAAACAGGGGGCGCCGTATCAGTAGTGCTCTTTTTCCACTACTATCTACAAAGATTTTCCTAAGAAGCACATCAGCGATTATGGGGGTGTACGAGGCATCGCAGTATCTCGGGCTGCTCACATGAAATGCATGCAAGGAGCGACGATAGTGTGGAGTGGTTCAAAGCTCGTTAAACATTCTGCGGTAGAGCAGTGCAGGGGAGAGAATTGAAGCCATATGATTGGCTGAGGCCATTACATCATCATTCAGTGAGATACAACGCCCCCC